CGGGGCGGGTGTCCCGGGCTCTCCTTTCAGAAAGGACTCATCGTCTTACGTGAAGCTGCTACTAGTAGCGTTTTGTCCATAAACCCTGCTTCTTGCCTCGCGGAATTACTTAAATTGAGCGCTGCATGCTTTCCTCCTCACCGACTTTCACAGAAAAGGCGTTTTCGGGTTGACGAGGCGGGCGCAAAGTCCTTTTCGAGCAGCTCTTGTAACACCTTGCACCGCAAACTCTAATGTGACTCTTCCCAAGAGCAAACTGGAGACCTTCTTGGGATACAAAGAGGAGAGGGAATTGCTTCCAGGTGTCCCCCAAAGCAACAAGCCAATACTTAAAAATTAAGTTGAGGAGACTTATTATTTAAAATTTACAGCAGAAGCCTTAAAAAAAGCAGAGAAGAGGCACACACAATACATCTCAACTTTTTTGTTTTATTTATGTACATCTGTTGCATCAGATTTACTCCCGAGCCATGAGCTTTTGCTTCTTCAGCTTCTTTTGGGATATCTGAAAAATAAAAAGCAACAGTAAAAGTCTGCACTTACAAAAAACATCTTACAAAACAAATTTCAGAACATACCACATTGCTTAAAGGTTGCTACAGCTATGTACGGAAAAGCATACCTACATATTAGTGAAATTCATCAAATTAAAATACATCAACTGAATGATCTAAACAAGTCATCGTCTTTCAACACTAAGGTCCCTACAAAGAGATTATTCTTTGTTTTCACCTACGTTTTGCAGCATGAAGTGGGAATGCCATAACTACTCCGGGGTGGGGGGAGGGGGAACGAATACTCTTTATGCTGTATTGGAGTAACTACACATACAGTTGTCCTGAAGAGAAAACCAGGAATTGTTCCACATGCAGAGAAGCACTAAACTCACAGCCTGAGAAGTACAGCAAGCCATCTCTGCAGTATAAATCGCTCACAAGAACGTTCTCAAATTCTCAAATGTTGTATTTACATTAACATTGAGGTTGCTCAGAAATACATATTTTTTTTCATGAGCATTCCAAAGGTGTCCTAAGATAGTCATCATAGCAACCCCGTTGTCTGAAAAACGTAAAGTATTACAATTCAGGTTTCTTGACAATGGTATTTTAAGAAACGAGAGAAAAAACACTAAGAATATGACACTTCTACCTTTTTCTTTTGAGCAACTTCTTCTTCCGGTTTGGGAACAATCTGCTCTTTCTCAGTGAGGATCATCTCAATATGGCAGGGGGAGCTCATGTAGGGGTTGATCCTACCATGAGCTCTGTAGGTACGCCTGCGCATTTTGGGAGCCTTGTTGACCTGGATGTGCTCTATTACCAGAGAATCCACATCAAGACCCTAGGGAAAAAAACGCAGACAACTTGTGACTTTTTTTCTGTAAATAATCTCTGTAGCAAAAACAGGAACAAACACCACCCTACACATGTCATTGCTGGCAAATATCTTGATAGTTTAACTTGACAATATCACATTTATTAAGCAGAAGCACCAAGTAAAGCCAGGAAAAAAAAAAAGACTCTACAGAATATCTTTCTAGATGTCACAATGAATTTTAAATCACGCTGATGGCTCAGAAGAAAGATTTTTGTTTCATAGTTACTCCAAAGGTGTCCTAAGATAGTCATCACTGCCATCAGTTGCCAAATTTAAATAATGAGTATACTACAAAGATGTAAATTAACCAAGCGCATACAGAAGATTTTGCTTCATTTTCTACATTTTAAGAGATTCCGCACAGACTTACTCTAAACAGTTGATAACAGAACGTATGAACTAGCTATCAATTAAAAATTATCCATCACATCTTATCTTGAAGAATGCAGGCAACATCATCTAAACAAAGAGCAAACCAAAGCCGCAGACACTGAATACACAATTCAGAGCTTCATCTACAAAGCAGGCCCTATCTGGCCTTTGACTTTTGAGCCACTGAGTTCAGGACTACTGACAAAGAGGACTACATGAACAGTCTGCACGTAATAACCCCTTGTTAACCTACCTTCAGCTCAGCATTGCTCTCTGCATTTTTGAGCATGTGCAGTAAGAACTCTGCACTTTTCTTGGGCCAGCGTCCCTGTGTCCAGCCCCACTGCTTGGCCTGGAGGAAAAAGAGAGTTCTGTTTTTATCCTGGCTACAACATAACTGCTACGTGCCCTTTCACTAAGATTGCTCAGAAAACAAGTTTCTTTTCACGTTTAATCCAAAGGTGTCCTAAGAAAGTCATCACAGCAACCCAAATCAACAATTCAACTTCTCACACAATGCTATGAGTATTCCTTTTTAGCTGACATACCAAAATAATGCGTTTAACTATCATCTAATGCCTTTCACACAAGACTACAAACTGTCATGCAGCAATGTTTCAGTTCATTCTTGCTATATAGGAACTAGACTCTCCTCTCCAGCTTATGTTTTAATGCGACACTTTCACCAACACTGAGAGAATATGCCCAACAATCTCAACTCCGTCTTTTCTCTCTTCTTTAACAGATCATACCCAAGCATCCTCCCCCCGTTTTCATCTCAAACCTCACCTGGGCACATCTACCAACTCCGCCATTGTAGCGACGGAAGGGAACACACTGCTTCTTTAGGGTCACATCCTTCAAGTACTTGGTGGCCTTCCGGATATGCATGCCCTTGATAGCTTGGGCAGTTTCACGAGTGTTCTAACAAAACAAAGCACAGGAAAAGTTTCTCTCAACACTTCTTTCCAAGTAACAACGTAAGCAACAGCACTTGTCCCTCTTTCCCCAAAAAAGTCTTTTTTTTCTCCCCATCTACCTCTATAACCCTAGCATGATTGCCATCACTACTGATTTTGTTATTCTGACATGTTTTTGCTGTTGTTTTAACAAATGGCTAGGTCTTTCCGGGCAGCAAAATTAAACCCATGTACTTTTAAAATTTATTTACACTTATGGCTGGTCCTTTTATCCACTAATCCAAAAACCCAGAGCCTGAAGGATAAATTTCCGCTAAATGT